ATTATCAAACAGCAACTTTAAGTGGTAATTGTCCGAGCCATTCTTCATTAACCAAACTAACGAAGACGCACAATAGAAAATCTGTGTGTTAGACAAGCCTTCAACCCCTTACTGCACGTTCTCTATAGATTTGATAATTGTGTTATCGCAAGCTCAAATCAGCACATTTTGCTTACACCCCCATTGAAGATTAAGAGAAATGGGAAGCACGGGTGCTCTGATCAACAATCTACAACTAAAAAATAACACCCTTTGCTTCAAATGCTTACATTCGACCCCGATTCCTAAAACTACTTTGCATATCAACCCCAGAAAACCCAAGCTGTTGAGCTTCTCAAATAAAAAGAATTTGAAGAAATTTACAAGGATAGTTTGCTCTGCGGTTGAAGATGCCACCGAGAAGCAGCAAGAATTGAGTAGTGGCAGTCCCAATGGAGCTGGCTTAGTTGTTGAAGATAGACAGGGTAAGATAGAACCTATTTGATGCTTTTTTTTTCTCGAATTTCTTGATGTGGGCATTTTTTTTTTTCCTTTGGGTCATCTGAATTGTGTCGGCAGTTGATTGCTGGTACTGGGCGTCCCTTATTGTTTGAACTTTATGATTTGATTCCTTCGTTGTTAATATTGTATTTTTTGTGTAGTTTTGGAGTGGAATTGTTGTAAAGGCTCGGCTTCATATCTGTTTGCTTGTTTGTACTGAGCTAGGTTTTTAGCAGATTAGTTAAAAATAAGTTAGTGACTTCTCTCGTGCACCACTTGATAAATAGAGTCGTAGGTGCTAATTTCACAATTGGATAGGCTGTATTGCTCTTCGATTTTGTGAGTGCTCGAAGTGACATTCAGACAACAGTTTGAGATCCCCAATGTTTATAGTGGTCCTAAAGTTAGGGAGTACATCAGAGATGTTTACTTTGTTCTATAACTGTTGTAAAAGGTTTTTAGCAGATTAGTTAAAAATAAGTTAGTGACTTCTCTCGTGCACCACTTGATAAATAGAGTCGTAGGTGCTAATTTCACGATTGGATAGGCTGTATTGCTCTTCGATTTTGTGAGTGCTCGAAGTGACATTCAGACAACAGTTTGAGATCCCCAATGTTTATAGTGGTCCTAAAGTTAGGGAGTACATCAGAGATGTTTACTTTGTTCTATAACTGTTGTAAATGATATCTCGATATGTTTGGAGCATTTTGACTGTGTAAGCCATCTTGTTACCATTAGATTAAAGAAATAGTAAAGTATCTTCTAATATGTTGTGTCCAAACACCCAGAATTTGAGCTTTGACGAACTTGGCATTTTAATGCATTAAACACATCAAACACCCATGCCCAAATGTGAGAAGCATTTCAGCTGGTTCGTCTATTAATTCAACCAGATGAATGTTGCTAAACACTCATCTGGTTGCTACTGTTGTAAGGAACGAAACAAGTTTTCCTCCAATCTTAGAGAATTTCACCGTGACTTGCTGGTAAGTTGATCTTATCACCATGACGTGGTTTGGTTATATCAAATTTCCTTCCATTTTCAAAACTCTTAAGAGTGTGGCTTGTTGACCCGTGAGAACTGGATAGGTGCGATTCTTTTAATACATATTGCTGCATAAATTTGTAAATATCAATTAGGACAAGAATTTTTGAAATCTATGAGTTAGAACTCTGTTGTTTAATTACAGTAACATGCCCTTTTCCTCTTATTGTAAAACAAATGAATTTGGTAATTGAACATTTTATGGAAATCTGCAATCTCAAAAACTTATATGTACACTTGAACATTTTACTGGATGGAGAATATACATTTATAACTTAGATTATGAGCATGTTTGGCAAAAGTTTTAAGTGTTTATAAGCTGTGGGTCCTGTGGATATAAGCTGTGGTCCTGTGGAATGTGTAGATAATATGTGAGTAATAAGTTGTGGGTCCTATTAAATATGTGGATAAAAAGTACGTTTGAATTGCATAAAATAAGAAAGTTAAGGTTTGCCAAACATCCACTATTTCTGAGGAGCTCAAAGGATGTGTATTCATTTTCTAGATGTCTACCATGTAGGTTCTGTCTGATTGATCTTTCTTTTTTAAGGCCCTATAGGCTGTGGTTTCTTGGTCCGTGTGTTTATCATATTTCTACGAGCCTCTATCATCACATAAGGGTATCGACACAGTAGTAATTCCTATGTTCTGGGCATACCATATCTGTGCTTTATTATGAGAGATTTTCCATTTTTTCTTTCTTTACTTGCTGACATTTCCTCTGAAGACTCATTTGTACACTTACTATTATCTCAGTATAAGAGGTCTGTAATTTGCTCAGATTATGAAATCATATATTTACGGCATTATAGATTCCAGTGATAGTCCAAAAAGTCGTCTTCAGAACAGCGATACAGATGACGATGGGAATCCTATTTACAATTTTCTTTATCCTCGTAAAGAGCTCCTTCCTGATGATAAAGAAATGAGCATATATGATCATTTAGAGGAGTTGAGGCAGAGACTTTTCACGTCAGTTTTGGCCATTGGAGCAGCTATGCTTGGTTGTTTTGCATTCTCAAAGGAACTCATTATATTTCTCGAAGCTCCAGTTAGTGCACAAGGTGTTCGGTTTTTACAACTAGCTCCTGGAGAGTTTTTCTTCACATCTCTAAAGGTACATTTCATCAATATCTCTTCATTCCATGAGTGAATTTATTGTTCTCTTTTCATTTGGCATTAAATAAAAGATAATTTGTTACTTGTTTATTTTAGCCTTTCAGACTTCTGGTTATCTGAAACTACAGCTTCTATCTCTGCCTTACTTTCTTGTCTGTGTCTATTTCCTATACTAGAATTCCAAAGCTCCTATTTAGCAACTGAATGTATGTACGTACAGATGGGATTAAATGAATATTTCTTGTAATGTAATCACAGAGACAAACCATTTCTTGAGCATAGACACGACATATTAGCTTATGGGTTAACTAATTATGGTTTCTGCATGTAATCTGATATTGCAAATGTCAAAAAATAACTTCCAGAGCATATATATTGTCAAAAAGGAATCTCAACTTAGTGACTGCATAGATTGTGGCTTGTTGTTTCCGTACAAGGGAGTGGCACAAGTGCTTTTGTCATTCACTTTCTATTAAGCCATTGTTCGCAAAAGTTCAGTAGCGACAAGTGATTCATATGACAGGACTAATGTTTCCTTCTCTATATTGCTTCACCTGTTATCTTATGCCCTTTCAAAGTTTCACTAGTTCCAATATAAGAATTGTGAATATATTTTTGGCTGGTTGCAGAACTTAAATACCTACATTCGAGTATCCTTTTTTTGGCAACTGGATTAGATGTTAAACTCACTTCTGATGTAACTGATCACTCTTTTAAGTGGAAATGAGGGAATTTGAAAATACACAGATTACTTTACTTCAAGAGCTGTTGGCAATTACCCATTCGAGAAGAGTCAATCATGTTATCGTTGAAGTTCAATACGTAACCCTTCATCTCCAGAGTTGAAATTTAGATCTAATCCTTCCCTAAGAATGGATTTCATAGTTCAAATTATCTAAGAAAAATAAAGCATCTGTTATTTTGGAAGGCTCAAGTTATGCCGTTCATAGTCTGGGAAAAATTTGAACATTTGCTGAGAAGGATCACTTAGAATTATTTGGTGCACTGGATCAGGCCATATACAGAATTTAGTATAAAATTATTATGGATAGTACTAGGTAGATGGTCTTATGGTGGATTAAACTGGATAATATTCTTCTACTTTCCATTCAAAAGATAGTCATATCAACCGTATGATACAATACAAAATAAATGATGGAGGTGGGTTTAGGCCAGGGTAAAGAGATGCAGTGTGTTTGAGCCACATTCTTTTTGAAGAATGTATTTTGCAATAATAGATTGATAGAGAATGTATGGTTAAAAAAGAAGGATAAGTTCTTTATTTGCGTGTAATATTATTTTAATGAAAAATATGTGGTTGAAAAGAAGATAGAGAAAAATGCATTTCAGGAAATATGGGAATCAAGCACCTTCATAATACGTTACATTCTCTTAAATGAAATTTCATATATTCCTCTGCCAAGTAATACTCATTATAATTTAAACAAATTTTTTTATCCGGTCTAATCTGGTGCACCAAATGTGACCTTACTGTTTGTCCAGTTAATAGCCCTTCATAACAGTAGTTTTTTTCCTTCTTAAATCAGAGGTGTTGGGACAAAAGAGATTTTTTCTTATTTCTTTTTTTCCCCCTCTTGTTGTACGGAATAAATAATTTCATATTTTTGATGCAGGTTTCAGGATACTGTGGCCTCCTATTAGGAAGCCCAGTGATCCTCTATGAGATGATATCATTTGTTCTTCCAGGCTTAACAAAAGAAGAGAGAAGATTCCTGGGGCCAGTTGTCCTAGGGTCCTCAGTTCTTTTCTATGCAGGCCTAATCTTCTCTTATTATGTTCTAACTCCAGCAGCCTTGACATTTTTTGTTAGTTATGCGGAAGGGGTTGTTGAATCACTGTGGTCTATTGATCAGTACTTTGAGTTTGTCCTTGTGCTCGTGTTTAGCACCGGATTATCTTTCCTGGTAAAGTTTATTCTTTATCTGCATTCTTTGTCCATGCGGATGACAATGCGAATTTTAGGTTTCAAATCATTATATTGATTCTGTATATATCAAAAAAATATTCCATTTCAATAATACAATCGTGGCCCGCTAGATATGGTTGTAAGTGAAAATCGCAATGTTAATTGCAATTTACCCCTTTCTGTTGTTTAATTTTCTGATTATCCTTGTTCTAGTTTGAATAATCACTTAAATCCTGTGTTTTCTATACCTATTCATTTTTGAGTGAAATTACTGTTGTATTCGCAGTGTTTTTTGATTTTTTGCTGATTATTCCAAATTAGTGCTGATAGCTCTCCCTCCATTTAACTTGGCTTATCAATTCTTCTTTCGTCTTCTATAGTGGTGAAATAACTATCCTGTCCTCATAATTTGCTTGGCACTGTTTTTGCTCAAAAGTTATGGAAGTCATTTCCTTGAAAAACTAATAAAGCCAAGCCACGTTGTTGGAAGAAGCTTGGATTTTGCAAATATTGCTTTCTAAATCAGTCTCTGTTTGTGCCCTGTTCTTGCTTACACACGAATATTCCTTAGTTTCGAATATGTCATTTGTACCGGTGTATTATTTATTGACGCGTCTTCTTCTTTGCTGATTGTGGTTTCTTAATGGGCTAATATTTGTCTGATACTGTAACTATGTAGTACCGTTCTTCTTGCTACGAGCTCAGTTGATGGATTTGATTGGAACAAAATAGGTGCAAAAAGATAATGAATTTGGATTACTGACATTGATGTGCAAAAAATGTTTGAAAATGTTTCGACGGATGCAAAAAAAGTTGGAACAACACCCATGGATTTCTGTTGCTTTCATATTGCTTAAATCTCAGATATAATGCAAGTATTGGAATATTTCCTTTAACAAATTGGTGCCTCATCCTTTTCTCCTCCTCTACAGGTTCCAGTAATACAACTGCTGCTTGGACAACTCGGCTTAGTGTCGTCAGAACAGATGCTATCTGTTTGGAGATATGTCGTGGTAGGGGCAGTGATTGCTGCTGCTATTCTCACACCATCGACAGATCCTCTTACTCAACTGCTTCTGGCTGGCCCCCTTATGGGTCTTTATTTGGGTGGAGCATGGGCAGTAAAGCTTCTTGGCCGATGATTTACTTTACAATCGTTGCTTTGCTACCCAAATTTGCCGAAAATTTTTATGTTGTAGGCAATTTATATGAAACTTGAAATGGATGTTTTTCCATTAGCGATAATGTTGCATTTATGCCTGGTAGTGTCAACTTTATTAATGATAGATATGTTTACTAGTTGGTTGGAAAAAGGCAATGTAATTAGAACCGCCCTAGCCTGACGCTTCCAGTTTTGAAACTTTTATATAAGGATTATTCTACTTGTACATCAAGAAATGTACATCAAGGTGTCCGCCCCCCTCACATGAAGGGGGGCTCACTCCGAATAAAAACCTTGATGTACACTCGATGTACATTAAACATAACCCAATAAATAACCACCTAGACCTGCCCAGTTTTATGAAAATTGTTGACGTGTTTCCCATTTCCCGAGCTTAAATTTATGAAAACCACCCAAAAATCTATCTTTTGATTTTTATTTATTTATTTTTTGGCAAATTTATTTATTTATTTATTTTTTAAAATTCTCCGATAAGACCCCAGTTCAATCCTTTCCCTTCTCCTGTTGTTAGAGCATTGAAAGAGTGAAGATTCTTGAGAATAATTATTCCCATAGAATACTTGGATGAATGGTGCCATAATTGTCGGTAAATGATTTTGTAATTTCTTCCGCATATCTAAGAGTTTTGCTACACGTACATCGGGGTTGACACTTCGCTGTACACTCCCATCACATGAGAGATTCCAAGATTTTTTTAATTGTCGTGGGGCCCATCCGCTCATGTGAGCGGAGTGTACACCGGAGTGTCAACCCCGATGTACAAATAACATTTTCTGCATATCTAATTTTCAATCTATTATGCATATATAAACCATGGTGAGATCAATCTTTGTGAGCTTGAAGGTCATCTGATTTTGCACTCAAACCATCCACTCTCAGACGATGCATCACTGGCTCAAAATTTTTTTAGCCCGTTTGAGCCTTAATATATAACAAGTAATGGAATAAAATATAATAGTTCGACTTGAGATCTACAATCTAAAGTGTCAATTTTTTTGACATAATATTTAGTTGGATTGTCGGAGCGCCTTAGCGCTCAACTAATAATATAGAATACTTTGTCTCATTTAATATATAAATAAAAAGAAAAAATGACTTGTTAAAATGTAATTGACTTTTTCGGAATTATATTCACAAGTAACGTGTACCACTAACTTCATAAAAAGAATAAAATCTAGTGCGTTTATAAAATTTGTCTATATTAACATAAATTGACATTTTTTCGCAGCAAAATTTGCTCATAGAAAATACAAAATCGTTCTTCCTACTCGTAAATTTGATATACTTGTTGATAATAATCATAACTTTTAATTTAAGTTAATCCAACGCTCGGCATCTTATGAATGACAAGTGACTATAGGGATATCAACTAGTTGAGTCGAGCCGACTTGTGAGCAGAAACTTGATGTTTGGGCTCAACTTGAATAAAACGGTGCGAGCTTTTTTTGGGATCCGAGCTGAGTTGAGTTTTTCCTTGGCCAAAAAATCTAGATTCGACTCGAATTTTTGACTTGACCTTATTGTATCGAGTCGGACATGTTCTTTTTATTATTATTATTATAAATAACTGCAACTGGCTACCTTAAAAGGCAGCATTTTGTTGCCTTTACTAAGGCAACAAGCTGCTGCCTTAAAACAGCAGCTTGCTACCTTTTAAAGGATAGCGTGTTGCTCCCTTTAAATTCATTTTTTTCCTATTTTTAAAACTTGTGAGTTCAAGTTAGCGAACCACACGAGATGGCTCGAGCATTTTTTAGGCCGAGTCACGTGTAGTCCGAGTCAACGAGCTAAATTGACATTTCTAAGTGATTATAACAAGCTTTCCTATAATCTTAGTAAAGTATATATTGTTTAATTAACTTAAATTAAATGTCACGATTATTTGTCCAATAAGCGTGTCAAAATTTTTAGTAAGAGGAACGATCTTGTAGAAAATATTAATAAAGCATGTTGAACTGGATAAAATCGAATGAGATTAAAAGAGAATTTTGTGACAAATTTGTTATTTATCGCGTTCATCAATCTGACATATAAAAATTCAAATGTCGTTTGAGTGTTAAAAGATAAAACAGCTAGTTAAAGAAATATAAAATGAGAAAATTTTAAAAAATAATAATGACGACGATGATGATAATAATAATTTTTCATTTAAATTTTTTTTTAGTGGGTTAGTGTTGACTTTTTATAGTTTATTTTCATAAGCAAAAATTAAAGAGGATAAAATATAATTTTTTAGTTAAGAAGAAAATTAGTTAAAAAAAAAAGAACGCTGAAAGGAAAGTCCTTTTCAATAAAATGTCCATAAAGTTAGGAAGAGTGCTACTTGAAAAGTTTATTAAAGCCCGCCAAATAAATCCCTTTCATGCTGGGAGACGGATAACGGCGGCTATATATATTATTGTGTCCTTTCTCCTCACCATATCAAAGCCACTTACATTTTGGAATCTTCAAACTACTGTTCACCGTCAACCACATTACAATACCAGAAAGTTTAGGTTTTAAGAAGGAAGAGAACTTCGAATAATGGGTTCCGAAATCGACATTGGAAGTTCATTCTGGAAACGGTATTTTCACAGTGAAGAGGATGCCAGGAAAATCGACATTTTTGACTTGATCAATGCTTCGATCACAGTCGCCTGTTTCAAGAAACCAGATGAGTTTCGCTCAAAAAGGTTGTGGATTATGGAGTCCCTTTTCGCCGATGATTTTAAGGCCAAAACGGGTTCGCCCCTGATTGTGAAAGTTCCTAGTAAAATTAATCTGGAGCCTATCATGATCCAAGGTTGCAGAGATCAGGTATGCAAGGATGAGATATTTTCAAGACATAAGAAATTTGATGATCTTGAAAGGGAACTTGATGAATTTGCTCAACCGGTTGGATTTCACAACGTTAACGTACCAGACAACAAAAGGAAGGCCGAGGTTTCCAAAATATGCAGATCCGGAACAACATTCAAGGCAGACAAGAAGAGGAAGGTTGAGGAAACCAATGGAAAAGGGGGCATGAATTCATATGAAAACAAATTTGAGGTCTCGACAAGAAGATTCAAGGAAAAAAATGAGCAAATTGAGAAAGCCAAGAGAAGGGTAGTGATTTTGGACTTGAAGGAAATCCCTCCGCCTCCAAGCTTGGGTCGTGATGGCAAGCCAAAACAATGGTTCGGGAGCTGCAGGAAGAAGATACAGAAAGCAAGATTTTAGGAATCAATTAGAGATGTTCTTTAATCTTTTGAAGTTTAATGATGTAAATTTAATAGCTATAGAGACTTTCAATTTTTTTTGGTATGAAAACAACAGAATTGATCATGTAAACTGTTAACAGGAAAATATTTGTTTCAATTTCCACTTAGCAATGTTGATATACCATTGAGTTGTTGTTTATGAATGGGATTTAATTTTATACGTAATTTTATTTTTAATTGTTGAATGTTTCTATTTGTGATGATGTGCTCTCACTAATATTATGCGATTCTTCGCTAACTATTGTCTCTAAAAGATGAAGGATGCATCAAACAGTTATTTGGTGGATTTCAATAACTTTCACGTCCGTTTAAGCGAAATTCGAGTAAACATCTATTTATGTGTTACGAACAAAAACCTTTTACAATGGGAGGAAGTTGTGGACTTGTCACCAAAATATGGTTCCTCTTCTTTATTTATCTCCTATAATGGACAGCATTCAAGGTAACGTTCGAGGTTATTTATTTCATCCAGTCATGTCACTACTCACTCACGTAAAAATAAATTGTAATTCTTGTAACTGGGGCATCGTTTTTCATTTTCGATTCTTCAGGTGTCACAAGGAGTTGTGGACACTCGTGGCTGACAGCATATAGGAGCTTATATCAATCTTGCTGCATTTTACCTTTTCGAAATTCCAATTGCTGCAACACTGGGTTTTTGATTAAATATTTGACGGAAAAGTCTTTGCATATAGACTCTCTAACGCTACTTTGCACACGATAAAGCTCACCATAATAACAAGCTGTACAAACTCGGAAAAACAGATCTTCTCTTCATTTTCTTTTTGCCCCTTTTATTTATTTATTTATTTTTTGCATAAATCCTGAAAAAATATTTCTTCATGTTGAAAAATACGAATCGTGAGTAGTCCATGTGGGTGACTCGACCCACAAGACATCAAAATAGATTTGGGAGAATGATTTGAATGAAATTCAAACCCATAAATTTTCTCAACCACAATCACTTCTGTGACTATAAATAACACTCATCACTTAGTTTAACAATTAAGGTGTGCGAAAAGATGGCATGAAAATGGTGTAAAATTCGTATGTGAAAATCAGGGCTGGCCTTGTGTATTTTGAGACCCTAAGCGACAAACTATTACGAGTCGTTTATTTCATTACATGTATAGCAATAATTTTAAATAAAAAATATATATCTATATTTAAATGAAAACTTTGTAAAATCTAAAAGATAGAATTACAAAATAAAATATCACCCATAACGCAAGAGATTCGACTAACATAATATTTAGTCTTCTCACGTTTTGAAATGCAAAATTAGTAATCAAACAACTTAAATCAAGTTTTTTCAACATTTTTTTTTTCAATGGAAACCACAGCTAATCCATTCAACCTTTCTTGTGACATTGTTGATCGAAGACAAAGCTTAATTAATTCAACTTCGAAAAGTTCTTTCAGCGAACACAACTGTGATTGAAATAATCAATAATATTCTATCAGCAACCCAGGCATTTCCAAAGCAGCAATTCATCCTCTTAATGTAATCTAACACATCAGTTGCTCTATTAGTTTTTGTAGGTATGCTTCTTTTAAAACTTTCCACTCAGAAAATAATTATATCCCATCATTGTCAGATATCATGTTATACTTCAAATAGTTTTCAAGATTAATGCAACAAGACTTTAGTTTAGCATCATAAATAGATTTAAGCTTTTCCAAATCAAATAAGAATCCTAAAATATCATCGTATTTCCAAAATTGTTCAAATCTATATTGAAACGATGATAGAGCTTGTTCTACTATATATAGAAAATAATTAACCCTAAAAGATTCTTCAATTGTTTTTGTCATCTCTTCACTAGAAGCGTCATCAAACTGCTTCATTATATTTATAACTCTTTTTTCTTGAAATATCGATTCAATATCTAATTCACCTACAATCGCTTTAGCGTCAATTATGACTGATTAAACCCAATTTTTTT